ACCCAAACACACTCCCTCGAACACCGTTTGCCTCGGTGAGTGCCACCGCACGGCACCCTTTCCACACCTTCGGCCCTCGTGAGTTTGCCCACCGCCCACGCTCCCCCTCCCAACCCCAACCTTTTGATTCCTTCCCCTCTTCCTTTTTTTTGGGTTGTGTTGGGTTCTCTAACCCAGGCGAAGGTGTGGAGGGAGCGTAGCGTGGCACTCACCGAGGCAAAGGGGTGGAGGGAGCGTGGCGTGGCACTCACCGAGGCGAAGGTGTGGAGGGAACGTGGCGTGGCAATCACCGAGGTGAAGGTGTGGAGGGAGCGTGGCGTGGCAATCACCGAGGCGAAGGGGTGGAGGGAGCGTGGCGTGGCACTCACCGAGGCGAAGGTGTGGAGGGAGCGTGGCGTGGCACTCACCGAGGCGAAGGTGTCGAGGGAGAGCTCGGTGAACTTGCCGACGGTGAAGGGCGTCCTCTTCTGCGCGCGGGTGATGACGATGCCCAGAGAGCGCTTGCAGGCCGCGTCCGCCTCATACCACTCGCTGCTGTACGCCGAGTCACCCACCGCGTCCGTCTGCACAACCACCACCACCACCACCACTCCACTCTGTAATATCTAGCCAATCCCTATAACCATTTATATTCTAATGCGGTCATTTTCCATGCATTCCGTACATTTTAATTGGAGCAGATCACAGTCCCGCGTTGTCTGAATTTTGTTGTGTACAGTAATAAAACTCCGACAGGGTCCGCGCGCTAGGCGCAACATTCTGGTCCGACATGGATACAAGTGTCTTTCACGTTTGACAAAAAGCTTTTCTGGGCCACAAAAAATGGTGCCGTAGGCAGAAAGTTGGACTGCCCTGTCCTAGACTATTCGTAGTTTTTCTTAAAAATGAATATACCCCGATCTGGTCCCACTCGAAGATCTGTGAGTTACAAAAAACCTTTTTAAAATTTTGGGTATTTACATGGTCCTGGGATATTTTTAAAATGTTATGAAATTGGCTACCATTTTTTCTTTAATTTTCTTGTAAGAATAGAGTAAACTACAATCTTTTCGATTGGCTTATTTGTTCCGTTTGACACGATTTTTGTTTCCTATCAATGCTTCACCATACTCTCCTTCCGATCACGCCGCTCATTCTGCTTCACCCGCCCTTACTCTTCTTCTGACCATGCCGCTCATTCTGCTTCATCCGCCCTTACTCTACCTCCGATCACGCCGTTCATTCTTCTTCATCCACTCTCTCTCTTTCCGCTCTTTTCAACCATGCCGCTCATTCTGCTCCACTCACCCTTGCTCTCCTTCCGATCGCGTCGTTCATTCTGCTTTTTTACTGTTTTCTGCTAAATTACTTTTTTCTTTGTCAGAAAAATTTTATTGCACAATTTATTTTTACTTTCGCGTGGGTACAATTATATCTTCCTTTATCAATGTCAATATTGTCTTACACAAGGATTAAAATCCCGATTCAAGCAAATCGCTTGTACGATACATTCTGCTATTTTCCCTCGTTCAAGAAATATTTTGAAGAGGTAAAATGTATGCGATAGTTTACACGCCGCCCTCTTAATTTGCTACCCGTCGGCAACCATAGATAAAACATACTTACTCTCCCTTTTATATAATATAAAACCCGAGCTATTTACCTCAGCAGTGATTTTGTTGGCGAAGTAACAGTACATCCACAGCTGCACTATCACTCCTACGCAGAAAGTGGTCATACCCATCAACTTGACCGTCTCCGTCGGAAACTGCGACGGGGATGAGAGAAAAGTAGATTAGTCATACAGACACCACCTAAAAATTAATACTCTCTAGATCGAGTTGCACGAGTGGACGAGATGTTTCAGAAATACGTGATCTTTGAGGAAAATGTGAAATAAATTTACATGAAAATGGAACCATTTTATAATTAAATTTGATTACCTTCTTAATTAGTTAACTTAATTCTTCAAATCTCAATAAATTATTATTTTAAAATGAATTTTCAATTCTATATTGCTATTGTGGTGAGTTTTTGTTGACATTTACAATGAAATAATTGTATGAGTCGTCATTGCCAACAATATTATTTATTATAATGGGTACTTTCGATGGCTTAGCCACCATCATCAGTTTTCTGCTGTATGGGAGATTCCTGGAAATGTCACCTCATATAATTATTTCATTTAAATACTATATACTATTAATTTATAAAACTTATTTCTCCCAGTTGAAATTCATTGAGAGGTTGAAGATTTTTATTCTACCATAGTATTTATTTTATATGTGTTGAGTCAACATAAGTATTTCATTAGTATTTACTTTATATGCTTGAGTCAACATAATTGTGTAAAGAAATAATCCCATAAACGTTTGCAAAATAATGCAAACATTAAAAATTATTTTTTACTTCCAGTGCGCGCAGGGGATTGTCATTTTATATTAATTCTACATACAGTGAAATTTAACTAAAATCGCTTACCACAAGAATTTGGAAAACTGTGGTGCACAAACAGATGGAACTTGTAAAGAACTGGGTCAGCATCGGTTTGTTCAATAAAAATTCCAGAGTTTCGACGTACCTGCAACAAAAAGTGATAGATATATGTGGATTCTAATGATAAACTCACTTTAATAATTGAAACCAAAATTCTTAAAATCATATTGTTGTAAATTGATTTTAAGAGCTTAATGGAAATCCGACGTTTACTCCTCCCACATGTTGAAAAATTGCAAGGGTCGTAATAACGTAGGTTGCGGTACATTACATGCATTTACTAAGAAGTCATTAAGGTTGATTGATTGATTGCACGTGGTTCCGGCCGCGTCAACTACTAGGGTCATTACTCCCGTACGTGCAGTGCATGTTTTCGTTCGGGAGGTGGCGGTAGTCTTCGCCCCACCGCATGGCGAGATCCGGCGCCGACCTACCGTCGGCTTGCGAGGGTTTTCCTAACAAGGGATCTCCCACCAGCGGGGCACTGCCCCACCCGAGGCACGCGCTAAGCTCCTGACCGGGCTCCTGGCATGTGTGCTCGCATAGTGTCTGTTAGTGTAAGTGTGTGTAGTGGAGAGGATAGGACAAGGAAGAGGAAGAGAAAGATCGCGCGCGGAGCGCAGTCCGTTCGTTAGGGCAGTGCTCCGGCATTCGCCTGGTGTTTATCGGAGAAACCACGGAAAGCTACCGATTAGAGCAGACGGTCACGAGAATTCTCCGACAGACAGCGACTGGATTCGACCTAGCTGACAAGCTAGTTTCGAAAAATTCTGCCACCGTCAGGACTCATACCGAGTCTCCTGGTCTGAGGGACTGCAGTGACATCAGTTGATGCCCTGAGACATCTCTCCCGTTTAGAAAGAAAAAAACGTTTAATTTTGTGTTTCTACTAAAGTTGGAGAAGAGCAGGAGAATGAGACGCCAGAAACAGGAGAAGGAAAAGATCGAAGCAGATTCAGTAAAGGGATGACAAGGATGATTTCTGGCTCGTGTGCAGGTACGTATGTTCACCATTTCTATTCCTCAAAGTATTCTCTAATATATTATCCAGTTATAGTTCCTTTCTTTATAGCATCCTTTGAGCAGAGTTCCGTTCAAGGTTCTCATTCATTCCCGTAGTAGTAATCTGCAAACAGAGCTGACGGTCGAACTCTTTATTAATTTTTTTCTTGAACGTCTCCTAATCTTTGATAAATATTGTCATATATGACGCATACGGTTTGCAGTACACCTCCGAACCTCCTACAGCGTGCGAATTCAAGGAAAACACTTGAGTGTAGGAGAACGCGCGTGCGCGCGAGGGAGAGAGAGTAGGAGAAAGAGAGAGAATGAGAAAGCGACAGAGAGAGTGTAGGAGAAAGCGATAGAGAGAGTGGAGGAGAGTAAGAAGAAGAGCAAAGGAGGATAATGAGATTGAGCGAGTGGGGAAGAGAGCGGGGGGAGAGAGCGAGTGGGGGAGAGAGCGACTGGGGAAGAGAGTGCATGAGGGAGAGTGGTAGGGAAAGAGCGAGTAGGAGCAGAAAGGGAATACAAGAAGAGAGCGGGAGGGGAAGAGAGAATGTGCGAAATGGAGTGAAAGAGAGCGAGTGAGAGACACATTCAGCTTGATAGACGGAGGGGACGCAATTGATGATGATCTTGTGGTGGTGCTTCACGGTTTCTCGAGTGTGAGAGAGGTTGCATAGAGAGCGAGTTGATTGAAAGCGAGTGAATAGAGAGAGATAGAATAGATGGCACATAGAGAGAGAACATAGCGAGCAAGTACATAGAGAGAGTGAGCGTGAGAGAGAGTGAGCGTGAGAGAGAGTGAGCGTGAGAGAGTGTGAGCGTGAGAGAGAGTGAGCGCGAGAGAGTGTGAGCGTGAGAGAGAGAGTGTGAGCGTGAGAGAGAGAGAGTGTGAGCGTGAGAGAGAGAGAGTGAGCGTGAGAGAGAGTGGGCGTGAGAGAGTGAGCGTGAGAGTGAGCGTGAGAGAGAGTGAGAGAGAGTGAGCGTGAGAGAGTGAGCGTGAGAGAGAGAGCGTGAGAGAGAGAGTGAGCGTGAGAGAGAGTGAGCGTGAGAGAGATAGTGAGCGTGAGAGAGAGAGTGAGCGTGAGAGAGAGAGAGTGTGCGTGAGAGAGATTGAGCGTGAGAGAGATTGAGCGTGAGAGAGAGTGAGCGTGAGAGAGATTGAGCGTGAGAGAGATTGAGCGTGAGAGAGATTGAG